CCCGCCCACCTCCATCCAGTCCAGCTCTGGGAAGTAGTGTTGGGGGACTGAGGCCGAAGGATGTGGTCTGGGACACATAGCTCAACAGTAGAAGTTGCAGTTAGCAAGCTGGAGACAAAATGCTGATGCAGAGAAATCCCAGGATGAGGAACAGGTGGGGTGAAGACAGAGGGCTGAGGGTGACTCTCTCTAACTTCTAAGGACTGAGCCGGAGGTGGGGATAGAGTCCACATTTCTAGAGGTATTTGTTGAGAAAGGCTTCCTGGAAACATCTCTCTGGGTCCTTCCTTCATCATCTCTGGACACGTAGCTACAAAACCTCCCAGACTTTGGGGCTGGCGGCTCAGGATTTGGGGAGGGCTTTAGAGAAATCACCAAGGGAGGGTACTATCTAGCTAGAGTCCCACCTAGTGGCACTGGGAGGAACTGCAATGGCTGCTTCTCCCTGCTCTTTGGACAGAAGGGGACACTTTGGCCTAGAGGCGGTAGTGCTCTGCAGAGGCAAGACAAGTCATATTAGGTAGTATGTGTCTTGTGCCTTAAAGCTTTCGAAGCATCTTCCTAAACATCATCTTCCTTAAGCCTCGAAACCATCTCATACAGTATATAGAGTACCCATTTTTACAGAAGCTCAGAGAAATGATGTGTCTCAGTTGAAACAGCTAGTCAGAAATAAGCCAGGACTTGAACCCAAAATTTCTGATGCTAAATTCCTTGGTCGTGAGGCCTCAACTCACAAGTCTCTCCAGACTCCAAGACCAGGCCTCTGGGTTCTAAACCCTATTAGGGGGCTTCCTGGGCTTCCAACATTGATTCTATATACTTCGTGAGAGCCCGAGTGACTCTGTGCCCAAGATCTTAGCTGCATGCCGAAGTCTGACTGGTTTCTCTTTTATGACCTGTTGAAGGTCACTCCAAGATTCTCTAAGATTCTCATGTTAGAGATCTGGTGACTTACTTTGGGTTTCTGCTTCTGAGGCCTCCCTCATACTGAAGATGGCAGTACCACAATACAAGGAAATCCTTCAAGATTTCCTGCTATAGACTGAATGTTTGTGTCCCCCGTCAAATTCATATATTGAAACCCTAATCCTCAATGTGATGATATTAGGAGGTGAGGTCTTAGGGAAGTGGAGCCCTCACGATTTGGATTAGTGATTTTATAAAATAGACCCAGAGAGAACCTTAGACCCTTCTATCATGTGAGGACATAGACTTCTATGAACTAGGAAGAGAGTCCTCATCAGCTATCACACCAAATCTGCCAGCACCATGACTTGGGCTTCCCAACCTCCAGAACTGTGAAAAATAAATGTTTTTAAGCCACTCAGTAATAGTATTTTGTTATAGCAGCCCCTTGACTGCATGGAGCAAGAGTCCCCTGACCTGTATGAAACCACGTCACAAGCAAGGAAAAACTATTCTTGCATTAAGTGAAAGTGATATGTAGGTTTATGTATTACTACATCATAGCCCATGCTACCCTAAATAACACAGAAACTTGTTTCTTGGTGATGCTCTAACGAAAACCTAAATTATCAGTGGCTGTCTGGAAGGCCGTAAGGAAACACACTGCTGAATTCACTTTATGTCCTGACATAACATTTGATAAAACCATTGCCTACAAGAACCTAGAGGGCAGACCCTTGTGATGATGAGGGAAATAAAAATCTCCTGCCAACCCAGAAAATCCTTCTCACGAATGTAAAAAAGAAATAGTTCTGTTATCAAATAAGCATTAAACCAGACTGGGCCGCATCATGGGTAATCTGCTGTTTAGAAAATGAGATTACAAAGAGAGAAAAGATATCCCATCATTTTCATATAACCAAGCAGATACAACCCAGCTCATACATGTTCTCATCTGTGAGGACTTGTCCTCAGGTGAGAGAACTGGACAGCACCATTTGCTATAGGTGTTTTAAGAGTTCACCTTAAATTCACCGGGTAATTGGGGTGGCCATCTGTTCTGGTTAATTGACTATCTGAAGGAAAAAGAAAACTTCTTGTATCTCTATGACAAGCAGGTAATCAAGGTGCCTCAGCTAAACTCCCACGGTGCCAGGGCCCTATCTTCCTTGATGTTGACACTAAAAAGAGTTGACTCCCAGGCCCTTCTGAAAAAAATTCCTAAGTTTTAATTCTGATAAGAGCCTTCTTTAAGCTTTTAAAAGATTTGCATACATATCAAAAGCACAGAGGAAGTATTTACAAACACGAGTTTTCTCCAGGAAAAGGAAAGGGGAGAAAAAGATCTCTTTACCTTTTACGACAAGGAAAACTCAGTCTTATTTTTATTTACCCTTACAATTTTCCACTTTTGTTACTCTCTTATAGTAACACTATAATTTCTAATGACCTCCATTGCTGTTTCTACCTTTCTGTTGGCATTTTGTAGCCATCAAAATATTCAGTGATTCTATAGTAAAATGCAAAGCAATTGTCAGACTCACAACGGGGTGAATTAGAAAATTAAGTACAATATGTGACTTGGGGGAAAATCTTTAAACATGGTAAATGTCTAAAACAAGTCATTGATTATATAAGAAAGGAGAAAGTATCTTTTTCTTCTACTTGTTAAAAACAAAACAGGTCCAAAATGGAGTTGCTTATGCTAAGCTTCACATCACCAAACCGAGACTTAACTTAATTATAGTTCGGGCCTTTCCCAGAAATGGAATCTTAAACCAGTCAGTCAATCAGGAATCACCTGGTCAGCACTAGTGAGATAATCTGCTTGATAAGACCCCTGCCATCTCCTAAAGGAAAGTAACCTTGCAACAACCAATTAGCTTTCATACCTAGTTTAACTTCCTTGTCGCTGCTCTCTTCTGCCTATAAATGTCTTTTATTTTGTACAGCAACTTGGAGCTCCTTTCCATTTGCTGGATAGGACGCTGCCTGATTCATGAATCATTGAATAAATCCAGTAAGATCTTTAAAATTCGAATTTTTTTTAAAACATCCTCTTCTAAATTCTTGGCTGGGCCCCTCTAACAAAAGGTAGATTAGCAAAAGAAAAGCATGCAAATGTATTTAATGTAAATTTTATGTGACATGAGTGACTTCATAAAGAAATGAAGACCCAAAGA